TAATATTGGTTAGACCGCGACGTAAGACCTTGAAATCCTGTTTGAGTAAACCAGAAAAAATAACTGGGGAAAAGTAGAGTAAGATAGGGAAAACACATTGATAAACAAAAGTAGAAATAACTGACTGGGATACGTGAAAATGCCTGAGCTTTCGTATTTGAAATGAAAGGCGTCGCAGTTTACCAGTGCAGTTGTGGATGTGGGTTGACCAATGAAGATTGCTATCTATGGTTACACCAAGATATTTGACAGAGTTTACCCTGGATAAAGGATTGTTATTAATCACTGTGGGGTCTGTCGGATATGGAGAGCGCGCAAAACTATATAAAAACTCAACTCATGAGTGAACAGTACATTAGACAATACAAGCTTTCTAGTTGATTGGTCTATTCTGATTTATGGCACTCTTCTGGTAAGAATGCAATTCTTACCAAGTCATTTAGGAATCGTATGACCAATAACATCAAGACATTTGTCCAGGATTGAGTGATACCATTTTCTTTCCCGTCAAAACTTGCAAATGTATTTCTGTGCTATCTACAAAGGACTTTCATTTTATCTGGGTCTTTACCTGATAAGATAACTATTTACTAATATTTTGGTTACAGAAAGAAAATTTTAATTTTTTATTTCAAGTATGGCAACGAAGAGAATAAAATCAGGTCCTTCGTGGACAAGACTGCAATTTGTCTTTCAACATTATCACTGTTTCAGAAGAAGGATGCTTTGATAGAATTATCACTGTTGCGACCATATGGAGATTAGCAGAAACATTCTGCAGACCTACTTTGTTTTCTTATGACTGTTATATTTTAAATTATTTTGTGCAATCTTGTTGAGCTATCCTGAATGAAGCATTTTTTGTTGTGATACTTCGATGATGTTGAGACAAAACCAACCATATTTTCGAACTTTCATTATGAAAACATTTATAAACGATTGTATTTTTAATAAACATCGGTGAGTCAAATCCGTTTTTCAAAAATTTCGAGCGTCTATCATTGCTAAACGGTTGATTTATGCGTTTTGATGACAGACAAGAAAAGGATCCCGATTCAATAGTTTTTGCCGCCGCCTACCTCATGGCAATTAGTGGTCTTTCACCTGAAGCATCTCTCATGGCTATCAAACGGGAGTTGAAGGACAATGAGTTAAAGTTCACCGGTCAATATGACGTGAGTAGTGCATTTAATGCTGTTCGTTTTGTTTTGTGCAAAACTCTGATTATTTTAACAAAGTCAAAACTTTGAAGATATTACTGCCCAAACGCTGATGGTCAAGGACAACTAATGGAAACGAACAATTCACTGATCAAAAATGTCCTTTCCTGATGAACTGAGCAAAATAAAAAATTGCATAAATTTAAATTAAATTCCAATATTACGATTATAATCTTGAACCTTGAAGAATACAACCAGTAGAATCGATGTTCTTTGCATGTGAAATGGTAAAATGTCAGTAAATATTTTTTAAAGAAATCACTTTACCATATGCTTCGTGTATCCTTGCTATCGGAATAACCTAATTGGCTGGTTTTATGCGAACATTATAAGGTTTTCTTCATCGCATCCTATCACGCGGAAACGAAATTAGCTATAGGTGGTTTTCTTTCAGGGTTTATTTAGTGTTATGAGGTTAACTTTCGATAATAATGATAATGGCCCGAAGGCCGGTGACCAGATTGGGATTACCTAACATCCGCCCTCACTTTATGTTAGGATTTGAAAGAGGGTAACTGAACACAATGAGAAATAACGGGAATCCCATCATACTATAAAAATTATAGGTTACTATCAAAACATGATCCACTATATTTCTGGCGATGGGCGAAAAGAACGAATAAGATGCTTTGTTTCATCATGTCTACCGAAGTAGCCTGAATTTCAACTCTAAAATAACAAAATAATTGAGGTTTATTTAGAAAGATGTTTGCACAGAGGAGAATTTAGTGAAATGTTAAAGCAAAAAACTAAATACAGCTAAAATATTTTTAGATATTATAAATCAGTTAATGGAAGGCTCTTTTATCAAGAAATCATCCTATAAACGGTGTGCAAACTCGGATCCACGAAAAAATAGTAGATTCTGTTATCTTAAATGTATGGGTGACTTCTGACTAGGCTCTCAACTGTCATCTTGAGCCTCCCTCAAATGAACTTTGTCATACACCTTGTTAATCGTGCAACTTTGGGAATCGTATATGTTAAAACGTTTGCTAAGAAGGTTGGAATATCTCGACTGTTCTCTTCGTTTTGATGTGGAAGGTCTCTGTTGAACTGAAATTTGTTGAACCGTATTAGGAAGAAGGGACTGAGGTGAACATATTTTAAATCCATTATCTAGCAAGAGAGAGAAGATAAGAAAGCACAGCTTTATGATTTTGTTTATTCCATGTTAAATTACCGATGTTATAAAATTAATTGCTCAGAATAGATTTCTTAGGATCGTGAAATACCAAATAATGAAGCTGTTTTTTGGCTGACCACAGAGAGCCTTCGCTAGAAATTAATTAATTAAGTTGAAGTCCATACAGGACAGCTTATTGGCTTTGATATCACCTGGATTTTTGTTGCTTGACGTTCCTCTGATAGTTGGACCATTTATCATGCGTCAAATATGAGCTCTTGATAATAGCCCGTTGGTGCATTTACCGAATAGCGTTAATTAATTTTATACCATGCAGACACCATAAAATTCATTATTTTACTATGTTGAAATAGATGTGGCATGATATAATGTTGATGATTATGAGAACATGAAGAAGGACAGATAGTTTTCTAACTTGATAAAGGAAATTCAGTTGTATTTCTTCATCCCGGGTGAACCGACTGTTTTGAATTTTTCCAAGATGAATAAGTAAAGTTTAAAGGATGGGCTGAAACTTTATTGATAACTTTGTTTGGATATGTCTTCATGATTATGATTCCCAGTGGGCTTTATTAAACAGCCGTAAAGTAATCCCGGCTTTTTCAATAGCACGTTTGGTACGTTGGCAATAATGAACCACTTTTTTGATCGTGCAGCCTCTTAGAACGCAACACGGGAGAGTCGCTCTATTTAATTTTCACACAGATCTTTGGAATTTTGCGTATATTTGAGGCAGTTGGAATAGCTTCTTCAACTATTACTTACATTGTTTTACCCTAAACTCGCGCATTTTTGTTTAGCCAGCTCTTCGTGCTCTCCGGGAGGCGTATAACCCCAAAGCGCTGCGGTCAGCCGTGATTGGCAAAGGAGAAAACTATCCAAACGATCAACTGGTCGAAGATGTTAGAAAAGTCTACGAGATGGTCGGGTTGGTCAAACCCACAGACGAAGAGATCAGCCTGAATAAACTCGCGGATGAGACGAAACGTATGTCTGTGATTGCCGGCGCGATGGGTCTCAAAGAGGACAAACGCAAAAACTCCAAGGATGCAAGCGCTGCCGATGCAGGTTTGATGGGTAAAGCGGCCGAACTGTTGCGTCAAGACATGGAAAGCAAAGGAATAGAGGCCACTGATAAGGTATCAGCCGGTTTGAAGAAAATGGTCAAGGGGTCAGCAGACAAAGAGCCACCCAAAGATGAAGAGCCTCTATCTCAGGAAATTTTGGACAGTTTACTGGCGATACATTCCAGTGAAAACGTGGATATGCCAAGAATTCTCGGTAAAATAAAGAAGAGGGGTGAACTGCTGGCCCCAATGTCTTATTACATGACCCCAAATATTGAATACGACGATTTTTCACTGACTGGAATTACGTCAACTGGTGACTGGTCGCAAGTTACTTCTGGCGGACCAACTGATACGCACCCTACGCCACCTGCCAAACCAAGTGATATGAGCAGTGAGGATAAACATAAGAAAGAAGAGGACAAACACGAGAAAGCAGAATCCAAGGACAAACACCCCAAGAAATCGCACGATATTTTCGATGAGTTTTGGAAACGTTCGGAAAACCAAATCGAGTGGGATGATGATACCTTCACGGATTTAGGAAAGACCACCACAAAGACTGTAGGCGCTCTCCATGGGCATGGATCTAAAGTAACCGATGACTCTGTTCACATACCACACAAACCAAGCCACGTGAATGGAACCATGGATAAGGCTGAGTCCGAATCCGATTCACGGCGTTATAAGATCACCATCATTCGAGCATACAGCAACGAGCCTAAGGATTCGACCGCACACGTGGACGCGTATTTGGCTACGTTGACTGAAGAAGATCGGGCGAGAAACCGTAAACAGGTGACCATCATTCGTGCTCTTTCTCGTGATGCATACGGCATGGAATTGTAAATCCCAGGTCAAAGTAAGCATGAAATTCTCGGGGTCAAACGTGATTTGACACGTGGAACTGGAACAGATGATAGCTGTATTAAATTGAACATTGCAGGCTTTTTATCTAAACATTTAACACCCCTATTTCTTCTTTCTTCTATCGCCTCATTTTATCTTCTCTCATTTGCGAAGCTTTGAGTGGTTTATAGTGCAAACTAAAACTAAATTAAAAGCATCGGAAATAATCAATTTGTGCAAAACAGTTTCGCACCACAAAAAACAAGTAGGCTTCAAAAGAGAAAGACAAACAGGTTTTTTGTATTTTGTATTTATTCACTAGCTTGAACCCACATCAATTTCAATTTTCGCCCATTATTTTAGTAAACATATCTTGCTATGATTGGTATTCTTATTACCACTATGGTCAGGTTAATGGACAAAAATACAATAATTTCAGAAAACCTGTTTTTGAAAATTCTACTGATTCCCGTTTGCATGGAAGTTAATTTGGATTGGGGCGAGTGTTTGCTTTCATTAAAATTTATTCTGGATCACGTTTTTATTATTGTTTGAGCCGGCAGAGCTCTTTCTTGTTGGGTTGATAAAGGTTACCAAACATTATTCCATGTGTAACTCTGTTGGTGTCAGTGATGAAGCTGCTGAATTACATAAATGCAGATTAGACTTTAAAAACGCCAAAGCCGGATTCAGAGCTGGTTAGAAATGCAAATGCAAAAGTCAACCAGTCGCTGGCTGATGTGCCTGCCCATTTCGATCTACCATGTTAGAACGAGAGTATCTTCGAAAGAAAGAAATCATTCCACTACTAGCAGATAGAGTGCCTCCTAAAAAACCAAGTCCGTCGCATTCCAGCAAGTAAGATCCATTCCCACTTATCGCCCAATTAAAAGCGATCACTAACATTATCAGCGTAATTTAGTGTTTTCCTCACCATAAACATAACCGATGATGAAAGTGGCTATTGATCTTTTCCAATTTTTTCCATTTATTTGAAATTTATCGTCGCTTATCCGTTGTCTAAAACAAAGTTGCGATATAAAACAATGCACATGGAAAGACGTGCGATCGAGTGACGCTTGTAACAAACAGTTCACATGTTTCCTGTTGATTATTTTTCGCTCTGTGGTTTTCATTGGGGTGAACTTCTGACGGTCGGCTCAAGTCGAAGGGGTTCAAAATTAGAGCATTCACCTGGCTCAGCCGTAGCCTTTAGGGTAGCGGAGAAGTGTGTAACAGATTGCGATTTGTTGCGCACCGGTCTACGAACTTTCTGATCTTCAGATGATTTTCTTTCATATGGAGCGAAGAATGCAGCACAGTTCAATCTAGCAGGTAACCACAACCATAGCACCATCCATGATTATTCAAGCCACAATTTTTTTTAGAGTAGCATTGATCCGGGAGAAGTTTTGAAAGAAGTAATTGGACAGAAATTCACCCCGAAACTTCTTTTCATTCCGCGTTAGGTTCGTGGAAGTCGCTTTTAAGACCGGAAGCTTAGAAAGTCTAAAAATCGTGACCAAAGCGACATCAATCATGTGACGTAAACTATTAACACCAAAAGATCGATTGGTTGTCCATCCAGCTTACTCTTGCAAACACATTAGCACAACTGTTGACAGCCTCTTCCTGGATCGCTATACTTTTTCGCATATCAAAAAAGAAGGATAATAAATATGGATTTTAGTAAAACCACCATGTGACAGAGTCAGTCTCTAAAACGCTGACCGCAATGGTAAAATGGTAACACGGAATAGGAAACCGATTTCTCCGAAAGAGTTTTTTTACCAAGTTTGTTCATAAAAAACAGATGGAGGAAATGAACCATTGCAGGTCGTTTCAATCACTTAGTAGAATCTCGACACCCCACATGTGTANGTTCTTACATATTCCTTCAACTGTTGTCGCACAATGAGATAATTTTCCCGGCACTTCAGTGAAAGAAGAAAGAGACTTGTTTGCTGGCAAATAAAAGTTTGTGGGCTTCGTCCTGCACTCTTATTAAGAAAATGATAATAATTAACGGATAGTATTTGACCGACTGCAGTTATGGAAGAACATTACACTTTACTTAGTTAATTCATAGGCACGTGTAAACACGTTCAGCTGCTTGGAATGTGGTTAACAATAATGTAATTAAAAGTTTTCTACTTATTTATGAGAATGATCATTTGCGTTGA